GGGGCCGGGGCCGGGCTGCTGGTAGCAGGAGCCTCAGGAGCCTCGCTGTTAGTGGCAACGGGGACGACGGTCTCCGAGGTCAGGGTGTCACAGGGAGTGCTGCTGGAGGCGGCCGCGGAAGAGGTACCAGTGGGCTGAACAGCAGGAGCCGAGGGAGTGTCAGTCTCGGTAGCCACGGGGACGACGGTCTCCGAAGTCAGGGTGTCACAGGGGGTGCTGCTGGAAGCGGGAGCGGACGAGGCACCGGTGGGCTGGACGTCGGGAGAAGAGGGGGCCTCGCTGTTGGTGGCAACAGGGACGACGGTCTCCGAGGTCAGAGTATCACAGGGGGTGCTGGAAGCAGCAGCAGACGAGGCACCAGTGGGCTGGACGTCGGGAGCCTCGCTGTTGGTGGCAACAGGGACGACGGTCTCCGAGGTCAGGGTGTCACAGGGAGTGCTGGAAGCAGCGGCAGCGGCAGCGCCAGAAGAGGCCGGGGTCGAAATGGCGGGCAGGCTAGTACCGCTGGGCTTCGAGGCCGGGTCGGCATCGCAGCCAGTGATCAACTGGATGATGATAAGCTGGATCTTGTCGGTGAGCTCAATGCCAGCAGCACCACCACCGAGGGCAGCCAACTGGGCGCGGGTACCCATGGAGATGGTCTCGATGGCCTCACCCTCGGTGAGGAGCGAGAGCACACCGTGGAGGTTGGTGCCCAGGAGGTTATCGATGGTGTCGGTGAGGAACGAGGTGAGATCGGAGACGAGGTCGTTAGCCAGGTTAAGGGCGACCTCGCCGCCGTTGGCAAACGAGAGCCAGTAGATCAGGAGAGACTTTTGCTCATCCCCGAGCTTGTTGCTGGAGTCGGCGAGCCACTGGACGACAGAGGTGCGGGTCTCCTTGGACAGGGTGGTGGCAGCCTGGCCCTTGGCACAGGCTTCCAAGGCGGTCTTGACCGTGGAATCGAGCTCGCCAACGACATCGCTCTTGAGGATCGCAGTCAGGGTGGCCTTGGCGCCGTCAACCAGGGAGCCGGCTTCACCGACAAGGCTGCCGATGGCGGAACCGGAAGAGATGGTGGACAGGCCGCCGTGGGGCAGCGAACCCAACGAGAGCACATCCTTGCCGGTCTCGTTGTTCAACCAGGCCGTGACGGTCTTCTTCAGCTCCTGGGTAAGCTTGCAGTCGGAGCTGTTCAGCCACTCCTTCAGGGTGGATTGAACCTTGTCCTCCAGATCGGAGGCCATGCCACCGGAGGAGCTGAGGGCCAGGGCGGACTTGACCTTAGGCTCGAGAGACGACCCAGCGTCCTTGAGGAAGGCAGTCAGGGAGTCCTGGGCGGAACCGCTGAGGACCATGCCGACGACGTCATCGACGGAGGAGAACACGCCGTCCAGGGTAACGAAGAGGTTGTCCTTGGAGGCGATGTTGGCGGCGGTAGGGATGAAGAAGGAGAGGGCGGAGGTGGTCTCGACGGGGAGGGTGGCATCGGCCTCACCGTCGGCCCACTTGAGCAGAGCAGTCTTGATGGACTTCTCGAGGTGAGCACCGTTGTGGCTCTTCACCCACTCGACCAGCTCCTCACGGGCGTGGGACGAGACGACGCTAGCCTTGCTTCCCAGCGCAGCACTCTCCAGAGCCGCGGCGGCAGGGCCACTGATTCCGGTGAGGATGAAGGCCGGGCTCTGGCCGTCCTGACCGAAGAGCGCCGCGATCAGGCCAGTCAGATCCTCGACAACGTCGGTGACGAGACCGCCAACCTCGCTGACGAGGCCACGGTTCTCGAGCTGGGACCGCGGAAGAGCGAGAGCATGGCTCGCCAAGCTCGCGAGCAGGAGCAGGTTGTCAGAACGCATGATGTGACGATTGTGATCAAAGGAATGTATAGGTCAGCGAATGGCTTCTGAAATCTATCAGAACAAAAAGAATGAAGCAAAAAAGCCGTTGCGATGGCTGAAAACAGCCAAGTTGGTTAATGACAGACTGGTTAAATGGTATCAAAAGAAAGACTGGGTGGGAGAAAAAACAAAACAACAGAAGAACAAGACCAGGTTCAAGCGACTGACGGATGCTTGAAAGGTGCGCCCACGGGGGTGATCATCGCTTTGCTTTATATACCCCTGAGCACTTTTTCATCACCCGTGGTACTAACATCCCTAAAGGCTCGATAGAGACTTGCCCCCCATTCTGGATTCCACGATTGGATCAGCGCGCCCCTCGTCCAAGGAGGTCGACCATCTGTGATCGCGGTCCCGGATCTTCGAGGCCAAATTGACCAAGTGGGTCCGGACGGTGTGCACGAAGGCAAATAAGAGCGCACATGAACCACTGGGTGGACACCTTCGAAACAAACCAAAGGAGATGGAATGAGAATAACTATTTCTGGCAATGGGCTGTGCTAGTTCAAAGGTTATGCGAGCCGAACGGTTGCGGATCAGGAGCAGACCCCCATGCCACGGGTTCGCCTGTCCAGCGTATACGATTCCAAATGTCACCACTCCTGCTATGGGCAATAGAGAGAGGCATTGTAGGAACCTAGGAGGAGAGGGATAATCACGGAAGAGTGAGAGGGGACAAAGTGGACATGAGGATTCCATTCAAGCCGCGGTCCACTTGTGGGAAACATCCAGCGATAGTCAAGACGCCGGCCAACTACTCTCAGGGGATACGTGGGCCAAGTGTAATCCCACAGTACTGATTGTCGCCATGTCGTTGGGTCCTGAGCCAATGAAGGCACATCTCACGAACATTTGGGGTAACCTGGGTGAATATCACCGAACCCGGTGGACAACCCATGGTTGATCAGCACGGCCGGTCTTACGTCCTTGAGCTGACCTTGGAGTCGGGGTCGTGCCTGAGAGAAAATCATGGGGTCAATCAATCAATCAATAGTCATTGCTGGGAAATTGTTTTGTGCTTCTCGAATTTCTGGTTGTTTTGGAGCATGAGATCACTGAGATACGTTTTAAAATGGATCCATGGCAGATAGTGGCTTTTTGGCGAGAGGCATCATGAGTGCCGGTCACGATGGACCGTTGACTGATCAAAATTTATACCCGCGCCCGGTCCATGCAGTCGCAGTCGTGCTAGGGGAGAACATCTTCATTACAGCAGCACTCCTCTGCACTGGGCTAGGACGAAGCGTCACGAGACCCCCGAGCAAAGAATCCCACTGCCTTCATGACGGTCTTATGCTTCGCGCGCGGCGAAACCATCGATATCTTCCCTATTTATCCATATTAATAGCAACGGCCTTATGGAACGAGGCGGACGAACGCCTCCCAGGAAGCAGACCGGGGGGTTCGCGAGCCAAGATCACAATACCCTATGCTAGCAGCCGTTCGAACATTGCGACACGGCACCGGATCCAAGGGAAGGAGAAAGGGGAGCGCACAAACATCGAAAGGGGGGTGGGGAAGTGTGGTGAGAAACCTGTTAGCGTCGGCGTACTACGAGCTTAGTGCATCGTTAGTCAGGGACCGGCGACGAGGAAGAAAGAGGGGCCGGGATTATGGTCTCCCTCCTGGAGTCCTCCATCCGTGCGATGCAAAGCTTCAAGGGATGAGTGACGGAAAAAGGACAGTGGCTCCCCCCAACCCTGCAGTATATGGCAGTCGAACTGGGGTCACCAAAAAAGAAGTCACCATCAGCAGGATCCGGGCCAAAAGGAAGGAAGAGCACAGGCAATTCTCTAGTTTCCCCCACCCGCAAAGCAGACTGTTGTGCACTCAGGGAGATCGTTTCCCCAACGGGTGTTCCTGACCCGACGACCATGTATCCTTGGTTCCTGACACTGGACTCCACTTGGGAATGAGGATCGAATCCGAGGAAGCCGTGTCTGTTGGACGGATGACAATAAAATATAAATATACACCCCCGACTCCAGACTCCAGACTCCAGACTCCAGACTATCGGGCGGAGAGGGGCCAATTTTCAAGTTGTCGTTTAAAATAAGATAGGCTCTTAGTTGGGTTAAAGATGAGTGGCGTCTGTAGTATAGGTTACTAACCCAGCCAAGGAGGATTAAAGTAAGCTCGCCATTTATGATTAGTGGAGGTGGGGTGGAAGTAAATTATTCTCCAAGCAGTAAGTACTCCGAAGTGGATGATAAAGGAGGGAAGAGAGATGATGAGATGGAGAGATGAGAAAGAGTGAAGTGAACTTGGATGTGAAGAGATTCAAGTCGGAGAAACGACGATGCCAGTCAGGTGATTGTGGTCAGTTTCTTTCTCTACCTCTTCGTCTCTCTATCGGTCTGGATGATGATGCTTCTCCCATCCACCAGTCTATATCCCGAGAACAGATTGGTTTGAAGGGACGTCGAACATGCTGCGCATCGTTCGGTGCTCACATATTGCGATGAAGCAATCTATTATATATAACAGGCCAGCAGAGGTATAGTGGAATGGACGCCTTGCAGACCAGTCCAGGTCTGGGACCACCCTAACTGGGTAAGATCAATTGGTCCATATCGCCGAAATGCTATAGTTTCTCCTGTTCTCTGATGTCCAATTCATTCCATCCCTGTCGTATGGTGGATTAACAAGAAGTACGAGGAGTGATCAGTATATCGAATATATATCTCCACCATACGCCGGAAAGTACACCCTTGGGGAGATCATGACGACAGAGTTCATCCACATCATTCTTCCCAATCTATCATGAGACACAAAGCTAGAAGCAGCATGCAATCCAAATGGGTATAAGAAACTGATCCAAATAGATCAATCAGACCCATGGTTGCTGCAGCCGGATTCCTGGGTTGTTTGCATGTTGCCGGGACAACTGGCAAGCACACGTGACCCGCGCGGACCCAGCCACCCGATGTTGTTTCGTTTCCTGAAAACGAAATGATCCGATCTTCAATCAACCCCGACCATACGACAACCAGACGACAATAACGACCCCAACGGCGCTAAATCTGTGCCTCCCCCCCCTTGACCGGACACTACTCCATTGTACATGACCTCGTTCATGTGTCTGATCCATTGGGAGTTGTGATGATGGCCTCTCCCAATTCCCTCTCGACCGCGTATACCAGCGGTCTCTCCCGACAACCGTCGTCCCGGCATCTAACCCGCGCCGCCACCTCACGCGCCGGTTCCAGACGAACCTCCCCGGAAGTCCAGAATGTTTCTGCTGTGAGTAGGAATCGACAGCTGGAGTCCTCTAGACGGTATTCGCCGGGCGACAGCTCCGATGACGAGGTCCCCGAGCCGAAATTCAGCGCCTCCGTCAAGGCCCTGCTGGACGAGGATGTCGACTCCCCCCGCCTGCAACGGAGGCCTTCCGACAACTATCACCGCCCGAGCGATCGGGTCGTGTCCACGAGCCAGGAGAGGCGATCTCGCACCGCGTCGCCCAACGACCATTCGACAGGGAGCCCGGCGCCGCGGGTGGTCCGCCTTGCCCCCAACTTGATCAACGGCACTTGGTTCCAACGAGAAGGATCGCCCCTCACCAATAGTGAGAGCGCCGGCTACGACAGTGCGAGGAGTTCTTCGAATGACCTGATCACCCCCGCGCCGCGACCGCGCACCGTGCGCATCAATCCCTCCCGGAGTTCAACTCGCTCTCCCGCCTCGATTTCCCCCTCGCAGCGTCGCTGGGAAGAAACCGACTCGGCCGAGGAGCAGAGGAGCGCCGAGCGCCTCGAGGAAGAGAGGAAGGCGCGGTACGAAGAGGAACAGGCGCCGCGCGTCGGCTCCTCTTCCGTGCTTCGCGCGCGTGGTGTGGAAGACGTCGGCCTGCACAGCTCGGTGCGACCGAAGAGAGTCGGCCGGTTAACAGGAAGCTTTCTGAATGGACCCGCTCGGAGGGGCGTGTTAAGACGACAGAGCGAGGAGAACGACGACCCGCAGACCTTCCTCACCGCGGAGGAAGGGAATGATCGGGAACTCGACGGCAACGGCAACCGCGCCGACTACGACTACAAGAAAACAGCGAAACCTTCATCACCACGGGTATCGTGGGTGGACCCGAGCCCCCTCGACCGGGCAGAACGGTATCGACCGCACGATCCCATCAGTCACCGGCCTGGAGAGGAAGCGTTCTCCCGGGGTTCGTCTCCTAAATCGTACGGATCGCATTCCAAGTCAACCCCGGGATCTTCGTCCGACCGGTCGTCGAAACCGCCAAGTGGGGCAGAGCAGCCCGTGTTCAAAGTCCCTCCGTTGCCGGAGCTGCCCTCCACTCGCGACCAGGAGAACGAGCCGCCACCGACTTTCAAGCGGGCCAAGCCTCAGGGGTTTAACCTGCTGGACAAGCCGGAAGGGTTGGCCGTCGTCTACGGGGATGAACGTAAAGACGCACCGCAGAACGAGGCCCCGGCAGGACCGTCTCCGCGGAAGATCCTGGCAATGCGCAGCAACAACGCCCCGCATCATCGACCGGCGCCCCCGCCGCCCAAGATGTCGGTCCTCGAGACGGCAACAGCCAACGCCGGCGCCGCCACGTCGTCGTCCTCCCGCAAGAAGCGGAGCCAGGTCTCTGTCAACCACAAGCCGTTCACACGGTTGGACTGCATCGGCCGGGGTGGGAGCTCGCGGGTCTACCGGGTCATGGCCGAGAACTACAAGATTTTCGCTCTCAAGCGAGTCAACCTGGAGGATGTCGACCCGGTCACCCTGGCGGGCTACAAGGGGGAAATTGATCTGCTCAAGAAGCTCGAGAATCTGGACCGCGTGGTCCGGCTGTTCGACTGGGAGCTGAACTCGGACAAGCACACGCTCAGCGTTTTGATGGAAATTGGCGAGTCGGATCTGGAGAAGATCCTGACGTATCGACTGAACGCCGAGGACGCGGTGTTCGACTGCAACTTCACGCGGTACTACTGGAAAGAGATGCTGGAGTGCGTGCAAGCGGTACACCACTACAACATCGTGCACTCGGACTTGAAGCCGGCCAACTTCCTCCTCGTGCAGGGGCGGCTGAAGCTGATCGACTTTGGCATTGCCAACGCCATCCAGGACAACACCGTTAACGTGCACCGCGAGCAGCAAGTGGGGACCCCCAACTACATGTCACCCGAGGCGCTCGTCGACTCGAACGCGTCACTGGGGCTGCCGTCGAGCGTGGGGAAGGTCATGAAGCTGGGCAAGCCCAGCGACGTGTGGAGTCTCGGCTGCATCCTGTACAAGATGGTGTACGGACAGCCGCCGTTCGCCAAGATCGCCAAATACTATGAGCGCATTCTGGCCATTCCCAACCCGCACGTAAAGATCGACTTCCCGGCGTTCGGCGTAGGCGGCGTGGCAGTACCGCCGGGGCTGCAGCGGACGCTGAAAGCGTGCCTGCAGCGCGACCAGACGCTCCGACCGACGACACAAGAGCTGCTGGGCTCGCGGGACGCCTTCCTGTATCCGGACGCGCAGCTCGAGGGGGCGGTGCCCGTGACGCAGGAGATGCTTAACCGGATCCTGGTCAACGTGGTCAACCACTGCCGAGTGCGCGGGGTGCCGCGTGACGAAGAGCTGGCGGCGTGGCCGGCGGGGTTCTTTGCCAAGATCAAGGCTGCTTTGGAGGAGAACGCATGATTGACTTGACTTGAATATTTTCTTTTGTTGATTACTGTCGGCGTTGCCCACTGAGCGTCTTTCATTTGTTCTATACCATTGAGCGGGATGCATTGCATGTTGGGATAGGAGTTGGATATGTGGGATTTACTGTACAACGAGCAATCAATCATGTTCGCTATTCTTTAATTAAGCTGTGTATTCGTATGTATCTCGTCATGAAGTAAGAGCATACTCGGTATAGACTAAAGGGTGTCAACATTTAACGTATAAATTCTGCCGCATTATGCACACCGCCCACATGACCACCGGATTTTCTCCCGACAATTTCTCCATCCAGACTATCCGATCCTACGACCAACCTCTTCCGACGAACCTCCCTCTCCACGCGACCGGAAAAGAAACAAAAAGAGAGAGACACAGGCCACCGCAGGTCCCACCCACAACAATGTTCAGCCGCAGCGCCCTGGCGCGGTCTCTCGCCGTCTCCGAGCAGCTCTGCACCCGCCCCAGCGTCACCCGCATCCAAGCTTCATCATCACCTCTCCGCAACGCAGCAGCATCCTTCCACCAAAAGAGCTACACCGCACAACAAGCAACGCAAACCACTCCCTCCTCCTCCTCCGCCTCCTCTTCCGCACCCTTCACTCCTCCCACCACCGCCACATCCACAACCACCACCGCACCAACAACACCAACAACACAACAAACTAAAATCCCACCACCCCCCCAGTTCACCACGCCCCTCAAAGCCAGCGAATCCCTCCTCGCGACCCTTCCGCACCTCGCCGCGCAGCGCCCCCACTTCCTCACAGCGCACATCCACGACCGACCCTACCTAATCACCGAGGGCGACTCCGTGCGTCTCCCGTTCCTGATGGCCGGCGTGGAGCCCGGCGACGTGCTGCGTCTGAACCGGGCGAGCGTGGTCGGGTCGCGCGAGTTCTCGCTCAAGGGTGCGCCCTTTGTCGACGAGAGGCTGTTTGAGTGTCGTGTGCGTGTCATGGGCGTCGACGCTGAGCCGCTCCGCATCAAGGAGAAGACCAAGCGGAGGAATCGCCATGTGCAGCGTATTACCAGCAAGCATCGGTATACTTTGCTTCGTGTGATGGAGGTTAGGGTTAAGGGGGTGGAGGAGTTGAGGGAGGAGGGGGTGGATGTTGTTAAGGAATAGTTGTTTTACCTATATTGGTATTGTTGAATGGGTTGCTTTTCCTTTTTATTGGTTGATTTTCTGTTTCATTTTTGTCTGTTGCTGTGTCGTGTTTGATCTCTGTTTTCGGGGATTTAAGATTGATATGTGGTTGGGGAGGGAAGAAAGAGATTAGGTGGATTGTACAGATAGACTGTGTATTCTAGGATATAGTGTTATATGATTTTTTTTGTTACAGGCATCCGTTCATCCCTCTCTCAATTAAGTCGCTCACCCAAATCGACCACTATCTAATTAATAACACCACACGAGTAAAAACAAACACGTCTAAGAAGAAAGAATGTCCGCAGCGATCTTCTCAGCCAGCGCATAAACAACAGACTGGGGATGACCCGGCGTCAAAAACGGAAAGCTAGCGGCATCGACGACCCTCAGCCGGCGCAGACCAAATACCCTCGCTCGAGCATCCACAACAGCCATCCCATCCGCTGCGCGACCCATCTTGCACGTCCCCGCCGCATGGTAGATCGTGGCCATGGAGCCGGCGATAAAGGCAGCTATCTCGTCGGCTCCGTCCCCGACGTCTCGACCGGGGTAGGTCTCGTTGCGGTCGGCGACGCCCATCTCGACGAGCAGGTTCCAGATGTGGCGGACGCGGCGGAAGGCCTGAACGGCGAGGTCCTTGTCGACGGGGTGGGTGAGCCACTGCGGGTCGATGAGGGGTGGATCGCGCATGTCGGGGGTGCGGAGGGAGACGGTGCCGCGGGAGAAGGGGGCGACGAGGCCGGCGGAGATAGTGCCGTAGTTGTAGCCGTCGAGGGGGTCGGTGCCCTTGACGAAGCCGTCGCCGACGTAGGCGTTGATTGTGAGCCACTCGAGCTCCGGCCAGTCGGGGGGTAGGAGATGGTCGAGGGCGCGGCGCGTGGAGGCGGAGAGGTGAGCCCGGAGGGGCGGAGGCAGCTTCTCCCAGCCGTAGTAGCCGGGGATGGCGAGGGAGAGAGGGCCGGTGGCGCAGCAGTTCCAGAGATGTTCGTTGTGCGCGGCGAGGGAGGCATTGTTGGCGGCGGCGGATGCAGTGAGCACGTTGACGCGGCGGGAGGCGCCGAACATGACATGATCTTGTAGGTTTTGGCCGACGCCAGGGAGGTGGTGCGTGCAAGGGATGTTGAGGCCGGCGAGGTCGGCACAGGGCCCGACGCCGGATGCGAGGAGGAGTTGCGGGGACTGCACGGCCCCGGCGGAGAGGATGACTTCCTTTCTGGCGTGCAGGGTAAATTCGAGTGGTGGAGTGCCAAAAGTGCCTGCGGTGGTGACCTGGACGCCGGTAGCGGTCTTGTGCTCGAAGAGGATTCGCAGGGCGAGAGTCGACGGGTAAATAGTGAGGGCTGAGGAGGTCACCGGATCTGACAGGGCTGCGCGGAGGAAGCTGGATTCCGACGAGGAGCGGTGGGCGTTGCGCGGGTCGACGGTCGACGGGGCCCAGCTGGAGCCGAGGAGATTCCCGGAGTTGAAGCCGGCGATCTGCGGCATGCCCGCCGCGATGTAGGCACGGCGAACCCAGGTGGCGAAGGCGTCGACGACGGGGCCGAAGGAGATCTGGAGAGGTCCTCCGGCAGCGCTGAAGGCGTCGGGGGATTCGAGATTGCTGGAATTGTGGTACAGAGCGGCGTTCGGCGGCGTGTAGTGCCCGGAGCGCTGGAAAAAGGGCATCATGTTGTCAAAGAGATAGCTGTTGTCGCCGACTTCCTCCGCCCAACGCTGCATGGCTCCCACGGAGGGTCGATGATACGTCATGTAGTTGCGTGCGGAGGTGCCGCCCAGTGTCTTACCGCGGGGATAGTGGACGCGGCGGTTGGCGGCCCCCGGCTGCGGGGTGGTCTGGAAGCCCCAGTCGACATGAGGATTGGTATCTTTCGGATCGCTGCCCGTGTAGAGCGCACAGTACGCCGGGACGATGGATCGATTACCGTTGCCGACTTCGTAGAAACTGCCGGCTTCAACGACCGCGACGCGGAGAGAGGGGCCCCCTTGCGCCAATCGCGTGGCCACTGTGAGACCAGCGGTGCCGCCGCCAACAATCACATAATCAAAGGTTGCATTGGTGGGAGGGCCAAAGGATGAGCTGGGGAGGGTGATGTCTGGGCCGTGGTTTGAGGGCCCAAAATGCGATGGAGACGCAAACGCAGCCAGCTGTAGCCCTAGTGCCAAATTGAACAAGCGCATCGTGGCGAATCTACCGTCGCTGTGCAGATGAGAATGAAAGGAGGGGTGAGACCTCAATTAAATACGCCCTCTGGCTGAAACGGAAGGGCCAAAATTCCACTCGGAGTGTCAGCATTCCTGCTGGTTGTCAATAGTGCGACGCATGAAGCTGCAGAAGGCGCAACTCTAGCGCCAATGAGCGCAATGTTCTCAAAACGAATGGGATTATTCTGGAACGGCAAGTTCGATGTCATCGCACCGCGTCATGCTCGATCGACTTTCCGAGGGACAGGAACGAACGGCAGTCGCGTCAATCGAGCTACCGGGTTGTAGACGATTCCTGTTGATCGGCGTCGATGATGATCCACTATGTGTCGGATCAATAATATTGCCATATAGTCGACGAAACAGTGGACGCAATGTTGGCAGGCAGGCACAGACGATCCCGACCGACTGTTCAATCTGGGACCAATTGGACGACGAAACGGTCGTGAACGTGGGATCTCTTCCCGTGTGGTACATGAAACTGACGATGCGGAGGATAGAGACGACGCAAACACTGGGAATGTCAGTACTTTTTCTTACTCGCACGATAAAGTCATGTAGAACAGGGAACGAGAAAAAAAGAATCATACAATCCCCCGAGCGCAAACATGCACGTCAAGATCACCTTCTGTCGCCGCGTCGTGTGTATGCGCCAAAGCATTGGGAACGGCAGACAGAGCACCAGTACGTCCAAGCACATATTGATGATGGCGTTGCCCCGCGTAAAGGGTGGACCGTTGTGACAACGTCCGGTTTGGACCAAATCCCAAAAGGCGGAGAAGGGTCGACAACCGGCCAGAGTGACGATCACGCAGGAGACCCAGAATGCGGCGACTAGAAAGCCAGCGGCGATCAGGACCCAGCGGAAACGCGTAACGACACCGAAGATGCGGGCGTAGAGAAGGAGAACGGAGGCTTTGGTGATGCTGGTGTTGGTGAGGTAGAGGATTTGGACAGGCATGAAGACCTAACCATTCCCAATGGTTAGAGGAAATTGTAGTATAGGAGGATAGATAGGTATGCAGTAGGGAAATACCTTCAAATATCCAACCACCTTGGCCTTCGAAATCTCATCCGCATGGTGCCCGAGGCCAAAGTAGATGATCTGGATCCATCGCAGGATGGCCATGATCCAGTTGACAACCTGCATCGTCAGTCCTCGAAACACACCGCATCGGTCTCCACAAGGCGTATATCTACCAGTGCGACCATAATGGTATAGTCATCCCAACCGTAACCCACGCGGGACACCCATCGCGCCGTCCAACGCAAGACGACGGCTATCGTGGCGGCTGCGACGGTGATGGTTGTGCCTATCCACAGTTCATACGCGATGTTCTCGTCATTCCTATGCGTTACCGCCATGGGGGGTTCATTGCCGCTGTATCAGCCTCCAGCTCGGTTGGATCTCGATTGACGTTGTTGGCTGGAGTTGAGCTCATCAGTCCGCCACCAACCGAAGTGATAGAGTTGAGATGATCCATGGTTCAAGACCGAATGCCGATGTAGCAATAGGTGGAATGAGTGGATCCTTATCCGCGTGGGCCGTTTGCGGATGCATGATCTAGATGGATGTATATCGGATCTCCATCCAGATTGATGGGATTCAGATCGAGAGGATCACCTGACAACCCGGCAGTCTGGATGAACTTCTCTTCTCAACACATCTTTCTGTTTCTCAATTCCAATCTATCAATTCCATCTTCCATCACATTTCCCATTCGAATCAACATTGATCTCTCCAACACTCCTCGCGAACTAAGACAAGAATGTAAATTCTTTGTCCGAGTAATAAAATACCTACTTCGGGTTTATGGACTTACACGCGCAGACTATGCCAATCAGCTGCAAAGTATGATGCATGAGATAATTATCAACTAAATAACTAATTTAACGGTCTTTTTTCGTCACTTGGGATGAGATGCTGAATAAGAGAACAGAACAGGATCATTTCATTATCAGCGGTCAGCATTCTTCAAGCCTGCCGAGCCAATGAAGCAATTTCCTCGGCCAAGCCACTATCGAGCTTTGGCTTCTCCTTGGCTTCCAACGGACGCCTAATCAGGCCTCCTAGTGGCTCTAGCTGAGGTGACTAAAGTCGGGCGCTTGGACGGACTGTTGGATATCTTTCGTCCATAATTTGGACAGCAGAGAAGGTGCCTATTGGTGGAGTCCAGTCTCCCTTGCTGATCAATATCCATTTCGGGTCGTGGTTTCTTGGAAAAAATTTCGCCCCTGTCTTATCCGTGGCGGAGCGCTAGTTCTCATCACAGCGTTAAACGAGCTGTGGTGGCACGAGGAGAAAAGATGGGGGCGAAAAATCATCAATCGATAGGGACTGACGAGGATGAAGAAGGGAAGGAGAGAGAAGAGGATTCTGCGATGGAGAAGATACACGCAGGCTCTTAGGGTAGAGAATCTGGAGTCTAAGCTGGTCTCCACTGGTCTCGGCTCTCCAGGCGGAATGGGGCTCATGACGGCGATCAAGCGAAGACACCTTAATGCTCTTGTGCCACGGTGCCACTGTCTTTGCTCAAATTGGGGAAGAAAAGTGGGATAGATGTCTCAGCATTTCCCACATCATCCTCCCGTCTCCGAATATGCCCACCAATTCTAATAAATCAATGGACGAACCATCCGATTTGAATGGCTTCCCTATGTTTAACGACCGCATCAAGGAAAAAAGGAACAGGAATATCTGAGATGAGATCGCAGAAGCTCTCTGCGATGATGGATTTCTCTGAAAGTCAATCTAATGATGACCAACGAGGGAAGACTCTTCTCCTGAAGTATCTAACCTTCTTCAGCCTAGAAAGATGGCCGAACGGGTTCGCTTCCTGCAAGGCTATCCCTCCCCCAATCCATACCGTCCAGCCATGCTCTGCTAAATTGCCAAGATCACTGGTCTGGAATTCTGACAGTGAAGTTCTCCCCTCTTTCTCCATCTCCATCTCAACTTGCATTTTGGCGGTTACCGATCTTTTTTCCTCCTGATCTATCTTCCGAATCGAAGAACGAACCCTTCATTTATTGATGTAATTGTATATCACCATTGACCAAACAACAAGACAACAATAATAGAAAAAAGAGGAACGAGACGAAGAAATGGAAGACTCCCTCGACAGCCCCTACGGCTTCGCCCTCCGTCGCAGCGGAGGCTGTCTCGACGATGAAGTCGACTGCGGAGAAACCTGGAAACCTTTCCACACCTGCTGTCCCGGGAGGACCTTCTGTCCCCCAAACCAGAAGAACGTCAAATGTTGCCCCTCTAATGCCGACTGTCTGCAGCTGATCGAAGGCGATCCGCACTGCGGCAACGGCACTGCCAACATGTACGACGCCAAAGTGGACGACGAGCATGGGTATTTCTGTTGCGATCCGGCCGAAAAGGGCTTCATGCGCCCGAATTCCTTCGTTGGATGTACCGCCGACATTGGAGATTTGGGCGCCTCCACCTCTCTAATGTCGATTGTCTCCAAGGGAATGAGTATGTCTACCTCTTCGATTTGGACCCCGTAGAATCAAAGCACTGATTGATAAAAGCAACCCCTACCCCAACCCCAACCCCCTCCTCGAAACCAGCTCCCGCCCCCTCAGCCACAGAAACCTCCGACCTTTCCGGCCCCGAACAGTCCGGCCTCGTCACGGAGGGCGCCGACCAAAACACCGGTACGAACGTTGGCGCGATCGCCGGCGGCGTCGTGGGCGGCGTTGCCGGCCTGGCTCTCATCATCGCACTCCTCTGGTTCCTGCTGCGTCGCCGAAAACAACAACAGTTACAGCAACAGCAACCACCGTCAGTGAACCCCGTGCCCAGGCACGAGTTGCCGGCTTCACCTCGGGTGGAGATGGCCGTCGACCCCAGTACGGCAGGGTTCTTTGGGAAGAGGGCTCCGACAGAGCTGGATCCAGAGCCAAGGGCTCGACAGTTGGTACATGAGTTGCCCGCGGGTGGATCGGGGGGTAAGGACATGCCGTCCTATCGATGAGGGTGAGCGACTGTACAGGTTGGGTGTATTTGATGGGTGTGTTTCCTTTGGTTTTATTTGACGCTAATATCCTATGTCGTTGCATTCTGTAATTTAAGCGACAGTGCTGGGGCTTATACAACTTAGTATCATTTTGACTATGATTTCAAATTATTGCTTCAAAGCATTTGGTCCTCTACCATCGATCTAGCGGACAAAACAAGCGGCCATCACCACTAGACCATCACGTCATTTTTTAGTCTCGCAAGTCTCTCACCGAGCTGCCATTGAAGTATTCCGGATAACAAACGGCAGTAATACCAAGTCGTATATGCTCACATAACCCCGAGATTCCGGCAGATATAGTAGCACATGATGTCACATTGATGCCGTGTCACACCAACTCAAGCTCCTCGTGCTCCCACTTTCTGCGTCTCGTGCTGGCATCCCCGGAAGAACGTCCCCTCATGGCCTAGTAGTGCTGTTCGGAAAACCTCCATCCTTCCATTTTATGATTTTGCTCCCCGCCGTAGTGGCTGCTGAGGGTACTGAGGCTGTGCATGGTTGTCACGCGCCTCTGAGTTTTTGAAGGAGCTGATTGCAGAGTGAGTCCGTCCCCGAACAACATCGCCGGAATTTGAGCTAAAGAGATATGCAAACTGTCGGAATAGAGATATACACTCAAGATTCTCTATCGAGAGAGCTGGATTTGCACTCATTCTTCTGCAGACCTGCAAAATAATCTATGGGCTAACGACTGGGATGCTGCAAGGACGCACATGTCAACTTTGTGGATGTACGTTTCTGCCATAGAAAATTATGTAACGACCACGAACCGACAATCAAAGTCAAGAAGAATAGGATAGAAATAAAATCTTGGAAAGTTGTTCATAGTGGCGTCACGATCGCATTTCCGAACTTGTAGTATGATAAGAAGACAGGAAGGCTTTCGAAGAGGAAAACCCTAGCATTTATAACCTGGAACAACTGGGGCAAGGTGCTACTACTTCTCTGCAAGAGCAGAGCTCTGCCCATGTATTGAAGATCATTGTAAAATTGCCATGATCTCCCAACAATGAATCCCAAAACGACGAAGATGTTGATATCGCTTAGGGCTGAACACAATCAGGCACCTGCAGGCATCAACAGGGACTAACCAAAATAGTATTAGTCATCTGCCAAGCTCTGCACGATGTTGTATCAAAGCGGGAATATCATCGAGCTGCATTCTGCAGTTTTCCCCATCGGATCGCTCTAATACTGGGCTAATTTGATAATGTTCCAATTGCTTACCAATGGCTTGTAAGTAGCATGCTAAACTATTTGTTGGTATGGACCAAGCACAGCCATTGGGGACCACCAGGTTGCGTGCCTCTCGTCGAAGACCCCGTGCATCGCGCGCCTGCGAAACTTGCCGCGTGCGCAAAACCAAGGTAGGCGCTTGAATTATTCAACTGTGTTTTGTGTGATCCCTGATTGTCTCTTGATCTTGACTTTTTTTGATAAATGGCGCTGTATATGCTGCACGATGGCTGATTCTCATAGTGTGATCAAGCCCAACCATGTTCCTATTGCGACTGTAGAGCTCCCCTACCGTAAACTAGATTGAGTCAAGACAGGGACAGTAGTGCTGATAACTATCAGATCACTCGCTGGACTGTTTCTATCGTGAGACCGGCTCAACCGACAGCCCATTGAAGCGACCTGCTCAGGTCAAGGATGTCCAAAGGTAAGTTTGTCGCCCTGGTACTCGTTTCTCGACTAACAACCCTAGAAAGAAAAGCCGGCCCTCCCCATGGCCGGAGGCAGATATCAGTCCTGCGTCAGACAGCGTTCAAAGAAGAGAACCCCTAGATCAAGTCGCTGAGTCTTCGCCCATGGTGACTCCTATACCCGACCCCAGCAGTCTCGCCGGGGAGACTCCTGAGCTGGGCGACAATGCCTCGCGCGACGGTCTGAGCGGCGTAAACCTGCACACCAGTGGCACCGAATTCTACGGTAACTCGTCGAACCTGGCGTTTTTGGGAAGCTTGTATGCGCGAGCCCGTCATCAAGCGGAGAGCCAGGTGCCACACGTGGCTGATCCGTATCTTCCCGCCCAGACCACTCGGGCAGACATCGCCACTCCCACTCACCAGTTGGACAAGCAGTCAGACGGCGGGAATTCCAAATCCCAGCTTTCTATTGTCAACCTTCTCTACAATCCGAGTTATCCGAGTCACCTCCAGCCGCAGGTTAGCGGGAAGCTTGACGGAGAACGTGGGAAAGAGTCGCAGCTTGGTGCCGGGGCATTGCCACGTCGCCACGTCGGTATGTCCCTACCAGTCAACTCTCTGATTTTTATCTCGTAAATTGATGATAATTATAGGTCGTGATGCTACAACGCAAGTTGAGGGGCTCACCTTAGAAGCGCAGCTGGAGATCGAAAAGATCTTCATCAGTAGCTATTTCTCCAACAAACACTACATCCACCCCATGCTCAACAAACACGATTTTATGCAGCGCTGTGAGCATGAGGCTTTCGTCTTGTCTCACCGACCCAGATTTGCCCAGGGCATGTCTAGGTTCGCTGGCCTCTATTTTACTGTGGTGGCGGTGGGCGCTATGAGTGCAAGCCCTAACGAGACGTCTCTACTAGAGCATTATTCCACGACTGCAGATAGTGCCTCTGGTGAGACAAATACCGCACAAGCGTCGGCATTGGATTTCGCAAATCATTACTACAAGATAGCCAAGCAGGCTCTTGGTGACTTGTTCGAGGGGGGATGTCTAGAGAGTGCGCAGGCACTTTCATTGCTGGTAAGATCTTTCCATGTGGATGGGAGCAATTGATTCTAATGATGGATAGGGCGTGTATTGTCAAAATGCCCTGCGGCCGCACAGCTGTTTCATGTACAGCGGCATGGCCGCAAGGACGGCTGTGGCCATCGGGCTCACATCCGGTATGTCGTCTGCTTCTCCGAGTATGCGGAGAGAAGGTCGACGAACGTGGTGGTGAATATCTCAGTCCTTTACCAATAACAACTCGCTAATGTTAATCAGGGGCATCTACTCCCATGAAATGTTCGTTCCCTGGCCAGGCTCACCTAATACCACGCTAACACTGCGCAGAGAGATGTGTTGCTCTTCTGGACGTCTTGACAGCATGAAAGATCTCCAGTATTACCAAGTTCCACTGCCAACAATCAAAGTATGACAGTATACCGTATTAGCCATAAGATCACTAACCAGAGCAATACAGGGCACCCCCGACAGCCAGTTCGATCCCGACGCAGAGGACCAGGACGTAGCAATAATCCCCGTCATGGTAGCCCTAGCTCACATCATGTCCGAAGCATCGCATCAGCTCTACCATTCCTCCAAGTTCTCGATGGGCGAGAAGTCTGAGATTGCGCTAGACTTGGACCGCAGGCTGCTGGAGTGGAAGACCAAGATCCCGCCGTTTCTCGATATCGACATCGTGGCTTTGAATGACCCCGAGTGGGCCTTCAAGCAGAAATTGGTCCTAAAGCTGCGTGAGTTTGACTTGCTCATTTCGACGACACCGTCTCACGCGTTCGCAGGATTCTACAACACCCGCATCTTGATCCACCGTCCCTTCCTGGCGGGTGCAACGGCCAACACCGAATCGCCCGCGCTCCAACAACATTTGCACCCTTGCCTAGAAGCCGCACGTAATAGCATCCAGGTGCAGTACGAATCGTTCGTGCACCGGACGTACTTTCGAACATGGTACGTTCAGACTCACCGAGCTTTCCCAAGCTACTCCAGAAGATTAACACAAATTCGAAGGTGGTACAACACCACCTACGCTCTCTACGGCGCCATGATCCTTTTGCACATCGTGCTGTCAGGCTTTCCAGGCATCGATGACGATGCACTCCTCCAGGAGGTGGACAAAGCCGTCGAGATTTTTGAATCGATGAAGAATATTCTTGTCGCGCGCCGCTGCGCCGAGATGATCCGCGAGGTATCGGACGTGGCGCGGGCGTGTCTAGCGCGTCGGGGGGCGCTCGTCCCACCCGCACAGCCTGCATTTGGGCTCCAGCCTGATGTGGCGGCCGTCCATGATGGTTCTGGACAGGATGAGTTCTTTTACTCTTTGTTTAACCAGGATGCGCAGGATGACACGCGCGCGGAGATGCTGGCGAACCTGGTGGATCCGACGATCCTGGAGGATTTTGCGTTTGGTGACTTCTCGTTCATGGGATAGATGTGCTCTGCTGCTTGTTGCTGAGTGTATACTCAGTTGATGATGAGGGAAGAGGTTGCATTGATATAGTGATGAGTGGAGACTGAGCCACTGCTCTGTTGTGTTTTCCTGACAGGCAGCTGGGGAAGAGGCGTGACAGAGCAGTGGCCTGACTGGCAGGGCAGTGACAGCTCCATGTCACGCACCTTCTTTCTACCTCAGGCATCACCCATCTCCTTCCTCTTCAGGCCTCCCTCAACCTCAGGCACCCTCCACCCCCTCCAACCCCAGGCCAACCTCCCCCCGTCAACCTCAGGCCAAACCGACCAAAAAAGGCTCCCTTATACCCCCCTATCAAGTCTAATATCTCGCCCAGAGAAACCCGATGGTCGAGTGGTCAAACACTGAGCTATCGGACTCCATCCCACGGAAGAAACGCCCAGATTTGGCTTAAACTAGTCCTGCCCGTCCCTTGTGGGCGATGAGCGAGGGGACGGCCTTCGTTCGAATCCCGGATGGGATATCGAGGCTTTTCGCTGTTTCAAGTCATCCTATGGCGCGACCCCCTGACCGTTTGGCAGGGGCGGGAGGGGGGATATGGCCTGCATCCCCGCCTCGCTACCAATCGCCGATGACCATGTGGGATGGAGGACGCGAACAAGTCTGGCAGTGGGCCCTCTTTTTTTGGAGTTTCTTTCTGTTGTTTTGGTGTGGTGAGGCTGTACGCGTCTGCTGTTGGGGGTGGTGGTCATGTTGGTGTGGTGGTGAGGTTTATACTGACTGCATACATCTCCTATCCACTGTTCTTCCAGGAATGATGCCATCCTCCGATTCAAAGCGAGGTATACTTCTAAGAACCATTATATAGCTGCAAATGTATACTATGAAGCCATTCCCATCATCTGATACCATGGTCCATTGACTCTATTCCTAACAGGGTGGTCAGAGTAGTCCCCCATCCCAAATAGGAAATACCACTCCAATGCCTGCCCAACACCACCACCACCACCTCCTACCTTACCTGCCACTGACCTCCTGAAGCCATTTCCTCATAACGAACATCTCATCTTGACCAAAATTTGTTGTTCTATCTCCACCCACTTACCTACCTTTTGTGGTGTTCTTCCGCAACCACACCACACCTGTTATTTTGAAGCTATACACATGACTTTTCTACCCTTTAGTATTGAGGTATTGTTTACAGTTCAAATATATGATTATAATTATATGTAACACTTGTTTTATCTATTCACACTACTTATTAATGCTTCCGCTATATTGAATTCACAGACATGGGTGCTAGTCCCGATAAGCTACATGCCAAGCATCGATCCTTCGGTCCGGCGGCTCCACCCGGTTGGTCCATCTCGGATCCAAATATATATATAGAAGTAATCCATGTATACCTACCTACCTAGAGTAATATACCATATAGCATACTCAGTAAAACCTACACCAGCGCTAATAATAAACACAGTCTTAAAAGCATAAACACCCACCATCATATATCGTATCCCCCGACAAACCAACCAGCCGCAGCCACCCAAACCATCACCCACCGGAAAACGAACCACCGCTCCCGCTTCACCGCTGCACTCGTCCCTAGATACTCCGACCCCTGCGATGTGGTCGAGCTCGAATCCGAACTCGAATAGATGCTGGTGCGCTCCCCGACCGTCCCATCCTGCACCCGCACCCAGGTGTCCAGCCGCGGTGGGCCCTCGTCTTGCAGCAGCAGCTCGATCTGCCGTCCGCCGCGCGCCCACCCCCCATACCCGCCGTAGCCGGTTCTCCGACCGTAGCACATGTGTAGGCCGTTTCCGGTGAGGTTCATGTAGGGGAGTTGGCTGTCCCAGCGGAAGCACCTGCGTAGTATTAGTATTTATCTACAGAAGGATGACGAGGGGAAAGGGTGGATAATACCAATCATTCCCGTGGTCATGTCCACTAAACGTCGCGATCAGCCCGTCCGTATCCAGCAGTGCCTCCATAAACGCATAGTCTTGCTCGCGGTAGTCCTGCACCCCCGGCATGTACCCCTGCTGCTTGACGATGTCGTGGTTGAGGCCCGGGGCAGCGGGCCCCCCGACACTGGCTTCCTGGAACGCGCGCATCGCGTAGGTCGGAATGTGGAAGAAGGCTAGGGATGGGACGGTGCGATTGTATTTCTCCTGGAGGGACTCGCGGGTTTGTGTGAACCAGTGGACGACCTTATCGCTTGTTCATTAGATTCACTTCATATACCAGATTCGTGGACTCTCGTCTAAATGGGAGAATTACCGAGTCGTCTACCCAATTTGGCCGCCGACTGCCCGGGCGCTCCGCCTCCTCACACGCCTGTCCGCCCCGCGAGTCAAAAAACCAGAGGATGAGCTCGGGCGCGATGGAAGAGCTGTTGTTGTTGTTATTCTCGGACGACCACACAGGGAGGTAGTAATTGGTGATGCCTGCGTCTGGATCGTCGACCATCTTCCGCGTCAGGCTGGCGTGCGGGTAGTTGGTGGTCTCCCGTTCGAGGAGATCATCGGGACATAGGCCCCGGTCGCTTTCGTGGTTGCCGTAGACGGAGGCCCAGCGAACATGGCGATCGGTGAGCGGAGCGACAAGGCTGTCGATATACAGGCTGGAGTTGGAGGGTCCGGGTTTTGTGCGACCGGTGATGAGGTCACCATTTAGGACGGCTAGCTGGGGATTCTCGGCGGAGAGGATCTGCGCCATCGTGTCGGCCGTGTGGGCGTCGTGGGGAGGCCCCACGGTGTTTGTTGCTGTACATTTTCATCCAGATTAGAGATGTCTTCAAAATTTAAGCCGGAGGGGAGAGTTGTCAATTACATTCTCCATAGTGAAGGTCGGAGAAGAGCGAGATCTTGAACGAGCCCTCGGGGGTGAACCGCAGAGCATTGGTGACGTTGGGGGCATTAGATAGAGCCATTGATTCCGCAAAACACTGCTGATCGCGGGTTTTCATCCGATCCAGAAAGACATGATGGTTGAGGTGGAAATCCAGGAGATGCGAGGCTGGTAAATCTCTGAAGGGCGAGTGAGTTACATCATGCCTGACTAGAGGGGAAACCGCCTAGCGGTGTTACACCGGTCAACAACGCCAGGCTCGATTCCTTGATCTTTCTGCCCGGTTTGAAAGATGTCGTCTGAGATGAAATTCCTGCAGGTACCCCAATGCTTGTTTCACCAGGTTCCTGGACTTCTCGTCTGTGAGACTCTCTTTGTTTGTGCGCATCAATCATTTGTAGTCATCTCGATAGTTGCATCGTGGTGGGTCTAGACCTATGACAGGAATGCGACCACATTCATCCCGACAGAGGATATTCCAAGTATATAGATAGATATTGCAACAAATTGCATGCAATTGACAGATATATGTGTGAACATTTACAGGATAATCCCGGCAAAGCGTGACGGTCACCTGACCGGCAGGAATTCCTTCAGGCATCAACGGGACTTGCAAACCTTCTTCTCTACACATTCCTTTGCCTTCATCTTCCATCCATTCCACTAGTCCGCTCAAACCTCCCCCCCGTTTCGTCATTTCGTGGATTTCCCCGCATCATGGATATAGGAGATACCTCCTCTTTTCCTGACCTGCTCCACATCGCTGAGCTCCGGGGCCGCGGTCCAGGAGATGGTCGGAGATCCCCCCGTCATGACACGAACTGAGGGGGCCATCGTGGGTATTCCCCTGTGACAGCCATCGGACGTCTCCGTTGGCGTCTGTCAGACTCTGGGGTAAACGAGGCGTCTGGCGCAGAGACCGGTCCTTCTAGTTCCTCCACCGTCTGCGCCAAGTTCTAACCCCCCGCCAATCCCCCGGACAGGATCGAGATCTGGAGCAATATATCTCCATCGCTCCAATCCTGTCACTCAATCTGCACGCTCGAACTAGAAAGACCAAGACGTCCCCGTGCTATCCAACAGTGGAAAGACAGGATGAGACAGGCCAAGACGTGCCGATTGCCGGCCGGGTCCGACAAAACCTTCACCGGTGGAGTCGCTAGAAGGCAAAAAAAGCGGGGATCCATCATTCCAGTACAGCAGACTGTAGATCGTCTCCAACTCCCTCGTCGTCTGGGATCCACGGTAGACGCCGATTACCGAAACAGATTAGGGTAACACCCTACGTTATAATCGTCCGGATCGCATGGAGCAAAGTCGGCGTGAAGAAAGATAAATTATCACCGCAATTAGGTTATCTTATTACCTACTTGCCTGGACCGGGTCGGCGGGTCCACTGAACCACCGTTTCTATCAATCACCTCGGTTAGGGTTCGCGCGGTGGCCAACATAGTCAGATTTTGTTTCTTGGCATTTCCTTTCGAGTGCTTGATTTTTCCCTTTTCTTTTGGGAAGTGGAGAGCTCTTCTTTTCCTTTCTGACACTTCCCCTTTGTCACGTCACGCTCGACAAAGACCGTAGAGCTCAATTCAATATGGGACTTCAGCCCTATCTCGGTCTTCGGGGAAATGCCCTCCTGCGAGCGGCGGTCTGGCTGGTCGTGTTCCCGGCCTTTACCTGCTATGGGTACAACATGAGTGTCGTCGGTGGTATCTTGACCCTCGACTCGTTCAGCCAGCAATTTCCGCAGATGGACACAATCAATGCGCCGAAATCCGAGGAGAAGCTCCGATCGCAAATCCAAGGTTAGTATTCGTCAATACACACCTTTGGGAGAGGCGAAGGGGAAAAGGGAAAAGGGGGAAAACATGATTCTGACGTGTTTTAAGGAACCGTCGTCGCCCTGTACACCGTCGGAGGTATCTTCGGCGCGCTCTCGTGCATATACCTCGGTGACCGCTGGGGTCGACGGAAGGTCATCTTCATCACCAACGTGGTGGCCATCATCGGCGCGATCCTCATGGCCACCTCCTTCAAGATGTCGCAGTTCATCGTCGCCCGACTGGTGCTCGGACTCGGCACGGGTGGATACGTCGCAACTGTGCCCGTCTGGCAGTCGGAGATCTCGCCGGCTCACAAGCGCGGCTCGAACGTGGTCACGGATGGTATCTTCATCGGCGTCGGCGTCAGCGGTGCCCTGTGGATCGATCTCGGTTTCTACTTCATCACGGGCAATTCCGTCTCGTGGCGGTTCCCGCTCGCATTCCCGATCTTGTTCTCGGTCATGGTGGCGGTTTTCATTACCATGCTGCCCGAATCCCCGCGCTGGCTCCTCAAACAGGGCCGCACCGACGAGGCCCGCCAGATCCTGGCCGCCCTGCAGGACGAGCCCGAGCACTCGTCCGTCATCAACGGCGCCATTCACGACATCGAGGTCTCTCTGACCCAGGCCACCGGCAGCTGGCGCGACATGTTCACCATGGGCGAGCAGCGGCTCTTCCACCGCGCCTACCTGGCGGCCACGGGCCAGATGTTCCAGCAGATGTGCGGTGTCAACCTCATCACCTTTTACGCCACGACCATCTTCCAGCAGTACCTGGGCATGGACCCGATGCGCTCCCGCATCCTGGCCGCCGGCATGACCCTGACGCAGCCCTTCGGCGGGCTCTTCGCCTTCTTCACGATCGACCGCATGGGCCGTCGCCCCCTCATGCTGATCAGCGCCGCCGCCATGGCAGTCTCGATGGCCATCCTGGCCGGCACCACCTCCGCGGAGAACAACACCGGTGCACTCGTCGTGGCCGTCATCTTCCTCTACGTCTTCCAGTTCATCTTCACCGTCGGGTACTCAGGCCTCACTTTCCTGTACGCGGCGGAGATGGCCCCGCTGCAGATCCGCGCGGCAGTCAACGCCGTCTCGACCGCCACCGTCTGGGCCTTCAACTTCCTGCTGGCGGAGATCACGCCCGTCGGGTTCGCCTCCATCTCCTATCGCTACTACATCATCTTCGCCGTCATCAACGCGTGCATCGTGCCCGCGGTGTACTTCTTCTTCCCTGAAACCAAGGGCCGCTCCCTGGAGGAGATCGACGAGATCTTCACGCGGTCCAAGAGCATCTTCGACCCTGTGCGCGTCGCACGCTCCATGCCCAAGATGCAGATCGGCCATGCCCACGCCGAAGCGGGCGACAGCTCCAGCACGGAGGAGCCTATGGAGGGCGACATCAAGCAGGATGTCAAAGCCTAAGGTCGGTTGATGCCTTGGATAAGATGATGTAGTCCGATAGGATTCGGGACGGGGGGGTATCTCCTTTTTTCTTTTCTTTTATTAGTATCGTCTGGCGATGTAAATAGAGTCACGATTTCTCACCTCTTTTCATATATTCATTTATCAATCATCACCACTTATCATCAACAAAAGCCCATCATATCAATAGAAGTAGGCAATAAAGTTAAACCAAGCAGTAGTCAGAAACCAAAAAAAAAAAAAAAGAGAAAAGAAAGGAAAAAGATATCCTCTCCCTCCCTTCCCCGCTATCAACAATCAAAACGCCCAGACACTAGTCCAACTCACCACTTTAAATCCTTTAGATAGGAGGTACCGTATCTGACCAATCCGGCCTTAGTCTGGAGGAATTTGTGCCAACTTAGTGAATAATTAAATTATACGGGATGGGCTAATCTGTGGCCAATCATATGTCATAGCTACCTTGTATTGGTATGGTGATATTGATGATGATAATAATAAAAATAATGATAATAACGATACTTGGTAAGCAGTGAATAGCGCAGTTCTTGATTGTCTTGTTGTCGAGATGGGATGGGATGAGGTGTTGAGGGGTTGGTTGACGGGCAGATGGACAGATGAATGACTGATGAGGTTATGGGATGATGAATGGATTGATGCCATGATAGATATACTGATGGATGGATGATTGAGTAGATTAGATAGAATCTAGGGAGGAGAGTGTCGAGAGGTGATGGATGGGAAAGAGATGGTGGTCGGTCAGCTGATAAGACCCAGGACGAATTATCCATGTAGCTATCCTACATGATAAAAGTACTCAATACTGTGTAGTCATCATGAATCATATTCTATCCGTCCGTCTATATCCATCATAATCATATATACAGACCCATCCATGCAGAACAATGTATCCACCAGGGACGCGGTGGTCATGCAATCAAGCCAGTCGGTGGATGGAACCCCGACACGGTATCCCAAATCAATTCCTTGCACGGTACGCCAGAGCTCAACAAAGAAACAGCCATCATCACGCCAGTCATTAAACAGAAGGGAGAAATAGGAAAAAAAGAGAGGGGGGGAGAGGAGTAAAAGAGAAAGAGAGGGTGAGAGAGAGAAATGGAGAGAGTAAAAAAGGGAGAGAGAATAGAAGAAAGAGAAAGGGACAGAGAGAGGAGGGAAAACTTAGAGAGGCGCTACCTCCTGTACACTCTCATCGCTGATGGACGTCGCCGGGGACGCCAGCCCCGAAATGGAGGAATGCATCTCCTGGGTCGGGTCAAGTTCCAAGATCGAGTCCTCCGGCCCCGTCGTCACCCGCGGCTGGATGGTCGTGGTCGGCTTGGCCGCGCTGGTCATCAGCTCGTCGATGCCCGGCTTGTCCGGCACGTGGGGATCGAGGGTGGCCGCGTTGTCGAGGCTCTCCAGGGCGAACTCGACGAACTCGGCGTTCTTCTGGCTGACGCTGAGGGTCCACCGGTACTCGCACAGCCGCAGCCGGTAGAACTCGGCCTCCTCCTGGGTCGGGGCGGTGATGCGCAGGAGCACGCCAAAGGACCCGATCAGGGCGAAGTTGGTCCACGACGCGGCGGGCCAGAAGGACCGCAGGTGCGCGGGACGGAGCCGGTTGACAAAGTCCATGGCCGAGATGAGCCGCGTCTTGGCCGCGGAGCGGCAGATGTGGGACAGGTACGCGTCGGTGGTCTCGGGGGCGAGGGAGCGCACGATGCAGCGATGCAGGGTGATCTCGGCGGCAAAGTAGGCGAGGTGGAGGGCTCCGTTGCGCGCGGACTCCTCGGTGACGGTCTCGAAGAGCTCGCCGCTGCCGGAGTCCATCTTGAGCGGCGGGGGCAGGCGGCCAAACCAGTCCTTCAGCCGGATCTGGGCGGGTTTGGCGCGCTCCAGGATCATGCGGGTGCGGTGGGGGCCGGCGGCCTGGAACTCGTCGATGGCCTGCAGGGTGTAGAAGCGGTCAAGAATGTCGGACAGGATGGTGGTGAGGGCCACACGGTGGCTAAAGAACAGGGGCCCGTGGGCGACGGGGGCATCTTCGGGCTGGGGCACCTCGGCAGGAATGGCATCGGCGAAGTCCTGCTCGACGAGGTCCTTGACGGTCCAGTTGGCGGCGACGATGTGGGAGGGGCGGCCGTGGACGAGGGCGGACCACTTGTCCTGCATGTAGAGGGCCCAGGCCAGTCGCTTGCGCAGGCCCTTCTCCCAGGTGTCCATGCGCCAGGCGGAGCAGTCCTGGTGGAGGGCCAATTCGAAGCCGGCGGTGACCAGCTGGGAATTCAGGGCGGCGGTGGCGATGGTGGACTTCTCCATCAGCAGCAGGCCGGCCTGGATGGTCGAGATGGAGGGCCGGGGGAGCGACTCGACCAGTAGGGAAAGGGCGGTGCTTTCGAGGCGGCCGGCGTCGGGGCGGCGTACGGATTGTGAAGAGGTCGGCCCCACGTTGACAAACTTCAGAGCCAGGACGTAAACGGCGGCTAACAGCAAGGGAGACAGGCCGCGACGGGCGCGGTACGACTGGCGGAAGGCGTCCTCGAGGAGGATGGGGAAGGTCGGGTGGATGTTCTCGAAGAACTTGTCGACGAGGGTGGCGCCATGGGGGGCGACCAGACTCTCGACGGCATCGAGGGAGGCCAGCAGGGAACCGTCCGCGGTGGACGGGGGGTCGACGACACGCATGAAGATGCCGTCGTCACCGCACCGACGGACGCGGGAGGCGGCCACGGCGCCTTCCTGGTTGTGATCCAGCGGGACGAACTCCAACAGGGCGGGTTCCAGAGCGGTGGTGAGGCCGATGTGCTGGGTGGACTGATCCCAGAAGCCGGGGGAGATTCGGGGAGGGCCGCGGAGGGTTGCTTTGGGGGAGGGGGCGGTGGATTGCCTGTGGGAGTTAGCCCACATGCTTCTCTACTTCATGGGAAGTGAGAATGGTACCTCTTGGGAGCACCCTCCGAAACGGACGGATCGAGTTTCCGCTTCTTGGAGGCCAAGTCGGCGGTGGCGGGACGCGGGAGGGTGAGCATGAAGGTGCAGTCCTGACGGTGAAAATCGCAGGAGTAGCATTTGTTGACCATCTCGTTCATGGCACAGCGGCTTTTGCGGCGGAGACAAGCGTCACAGCTGGGGCCATCCCGATTGGAGGGTAGGGCGAGACGGGGTAGGGAGGAGGGCGACTGCGGGGCGGGGGGGAGACCGGGGGCGACACCGGGGGCGGCACTGGGGGGGGCACTAGGGGGGCCACTGGGGGAGACACCGGAGGGTTGATGAGGAAGACAGGAGCGCAGACGTTGGTTATCGGGGGAGGATTGAAAAGGAGTGGCGGGCCCGGTCGTCGGGGACGATTGGAGGGTGATAACGGCGGCCATTCCGAGGGAGTGGCCAGTAGTGCAAGGGTCTCTACTCTCTCAGATGGGGAGAGGAGTCTGGGGAGAATGTCGATCCAGCTTATCAGAGAGAAAAAAATAAAATAAAATAAAATAGAATAAAATAAAAAAAAGATAGGAAGAGATAGATAGGTATAGAGATAGGGAGGAGATAGTCAATTGGGAGAGAGAGAAGATAGATATGATATAAAAGATGATAATGAGTAATGGACCCAATGGAATGGACAGGACGGGATGAGCAAGGATGATCGGGAGAAAGAACCGGAGCAGATGCAGCCGGGGTCGATCGTCACCAATGAGAAGATTGATGGTATGTAATGGATGATAGATGGATGGATGGATGATGGATGGATAAAATAATTGAATGATAATGGGATCACGGATGATCGAGAGCAGCGAGCGAGACCAGCAAGATCAGATGGCGAATGGAACGCTCCGTCATCCTACTCGAGTATTGGAAGTGTAGAGGAGAGAAATAGAGAGTAGGAGTGGATGGTAGGATCAGAAGTCGAGAGAGAGGGAAGTATAGATGAGGTAAAGCAAGTCAAAAGAGAGAAATGAAGTTGAATTTCCCACACGTAACAGATATCCTGACAGGGTTCGGACGGTTGGTTCCTGAGATAAGCCTCCCCCAGCTGATTGGGTCTTGGATGGACCATTCGGGAGTATTACGTACAATCTCCATCTCTGCCATCGCTCTACCGGACTGCCAGGTGTAGGAGTATTTACAACCCTCTCCCTCGAGATATCTGGGGATCTCGGCTCCTCGTCTTATCCTATACTGAATCTAATGAGAGAGAGAAGGAGGAGGGACCGGCAGGCCTGAGGCACAATCGCCACCACTGCTGACTCCCGTCCAGAGACAATCAAGAACCAATCAGGGTCCAGCGATAGCCAATCCCCCCACCAATCATATTTCCCCGTGGCAACTCAAAACAGCCTAGCGCCAACCGGCAACGGGGATCGGCCCTGCAGCCATCAGCCCCACATCCATGTGTATAGAAAGGTTGTACGTAAGGTCGATGCATCTTGGGCATCTACATTATACCTAGTATCTAGACTACTCCATCCAGTGATCTGTAGGTGATCCATTACCTACGAGAAATACACCGCCAATCAACACATCACTACTCCAGACCTGGTAGTCTTAACCGGGCAGACAGACGATCATGCCAGTCCCGCACCCAACCGGGTTAGGATATTTGTTACCTACTACGATCTTGGGAACTAGGTACTACCCAGTACCTACCGTGGTCGGTCCCTACTTGGGGACTGAAGGTATCAGGTATGCACATGTTGTACGATGCCCCGATACTGATGAAAGATCTGCAGCGGGAGATGAACTCCGGGGTGACACAATCATTTGTGATATATCTGCCTCTACTATACATAAGTGCCTACCTACCTAGTGCCGATACTAGGTAGTATACGCATATGTCATCCAAGCTTTCCATTACTTAATGCTAAGCCTAACCACTCACCGCTATCCTACTTTCTCACATCGTACCACTTGCCTAGTCGTTGATTGATTAATCTTATTACCTATCTTTGTGAAACTCAGGCATCGATACCCGCCCAACGGCGTTACTTCATCTAAATGATTTGATCTGATTTGATTGTCCACCGATCCTGACATACTACCTACGTAGTATACTATGTTCCCAGTAATATCGGGTACCCCAACAGCCATGCATACAAATATAGGAGTCAAAGAAACAGACATCAGTCAATGTGGATGCCAATGCGATGAACTAATGCATCAACGCCAAACTCCATGCTAAACAACCCAATCAAGCCCTCGTCACACCCCTAGGTGAATTCCTACTCGGTAAAATTCCGCAACTTGGTCAACTCATCCAGCAGCTCCTGCAGGTCTCCGTCGGAGATTTTATGCTGAAGACTCGGAATCAGCGACTTGGCTTCTTCGGCGTTGTCGCAGCACAGGCTTCCTATATGTCGTTAGTATCCATGATCAACCTCATCATTATTATATCAATCATGATATATGTCATGTTTCGATAAATAAGAAGAAGAGGGGAAATACCAAGCTGCGACCTCTCAAACATCTCCAACTCCGTATGCGAATTCAACAGTCTCTCCACAGCCTTGATATTCTCCTCGTCCTTGAACCGCGCAAACACCTCGAGGTAGTCTAGCGTTTTGGTAAGGTTTCTGCATCACATTAGCTTCTTTCTTTCTCTCTCTCTCTTTTCCCTCTTCCTTCCTTTCCTTTCGTTCTCCCTCCTACCCTCCTATCCACCCACAAAAAAAAAAGGGTAAGAAGATAGACATACTCAGGCTCCTCATACTTCTTCCCCCCCCGTCTCTTATTCTCCAACACCTTATTAATCACCAGCCGCGCCTCCGACAGCGACAGCGTGTGCGTGTGCTGGTCCGCCCCCAGCTTGAGCGTCGAGGCGGCTTCGAGTTCGCCTTGTGGGAGGGCGCGCTTGCGGTGGGTCGCGGGGGGGAGTTGGACGCTCATTTTGATCTTCGTTTCCTGGCTGGTTGACTGTATTGTAGGGGATTGGATTGCTGAAGGAAGGTGTGTAAGATAGCGGTAGTTGATGTGATGGCTTGGCTTGTTGTGAGGTCGGGGCGTGGGGCTGGAAAAGTTCCTCCGTGGTGGGCGGTGAGATACTCACCGCTTTCTCTTTATGGTCCACACATGGAATATGCGCTGTTGTTGCCTATTTCTACTACATATTTCAGGCGATAGGGTACTAGGCTCCTACTGTAGACTAGGTAGGGTATCAAGTCTAGATTGGAGTGTTCTTTATATATGCAATACCAAACGCCCTGCTATGTGCCGTATGCGCCATATCTATATGCATCATTCAAGCCCTAAAGGCAACCTCCCGCGGCAGTCTAAAGCTCGCGCAAAACATCTGCTTATTAGGACTGACCAGCCGCACATTATGGATAGATAGCTCGATCTCAGGGTTGCCGCTACCACCCACGCAGTCGTCCGGCGTGATCGTATACCCGATGCGCTCCGACACCCGCTGACAGATGTCGACGTGGTCGACGCGCTCGTCCTCTGAGTGCCCCGAGAAGCAGTACACGTGGACCATGGGGAGACGCTGCTCGGTGTGCGGCGCGAATAGCGACTCCTTGCCCGCGTAGATGCCCGGGAAGGCGTCTAGGAATTCGATTGCTGTGGCAGGCAGGTTCATCACGTAGTGGTCGAAGACGGTTGGGCGGTTGAAGACCTCGGCGGGTTGTGCTGGTTGTTGCTGCTGTTCCTGTTGCTTGGCGTCTTTGGCGCCCTTCTTCTCCCTTCGCTGTCGCGGCTGGATGGTGACCGTCACCGGGTCGGACTCGAGCAGCGTCTTGGCAGCCCAGGGGATGAACGCCCGTCCGTCCTTGTTAAACGGCGTGACGAACTGGTCGACCTTGTTGCGCTTAACAGCATCCTGCATGACCTCCCATCCATGCGGGTTGAGATCGTTGGCCCACACGAAAATCTTCTTCTTGCCAGCCGGGACGGCAAACGGACCCACGCCAGCCATCACATCGCAGACGATCTCGCCGGGGCGGAACTTGTCCACGAGCCGGCGGTGCTCCGTCTCGAGCCGGCTGTTCCAGTACACGCGCGAGTAGTCGAAGCGGAACTCGCAGTTCTGCTCGTGCTGGATGACGTTCATGTCCTTGTCGCCGGCAAGGTGCTCGAAGGGGAAGGTGCGGAACTCGCTGTGCGCGCCGACGTCTTCCGTCTTGCGGATTACTGTCCGGATGGTCGGGTTCTTGTCTTTGAGGATCTCGGCGATCATGAATCGGTAGGGGACGAATTGTTCGCGGAGGTTGATGTGTAGGACGTGGCCGACTTGCGTGAAGCCTTGGGGGATCTCAACGAGGAGATCCTCTGGCAGGATGCACGCGATGATATCGGCTGGAAGGGTTAGCATGAGCCGGACAGGAGAGAAGGAGGCACAAACCGTAGTTCCAATAATCATATTCCAGCTTAAGATCATACCCCTGTACTTTGATAACCTCCTTCTCAACAAGCTCCTTGATCTTCGACGACCACGTCGTAGCATCTAATCAAAACCAACAAGATTAGCCAACACTCCGACATAGGACAGCAAATCCAAACCATACAAAACAATAACAGTAAGGGGGAAAAGAAAAACCATCATATTTCACCCCCTCCCTCAACAAAAGACACTTGCGCACCACATCATCCTCGCCCCGCACCTCACGAATACTGCTCAACCGCGGCATAGCCAACAAATACCGATTTCTCTGCAACTCGCCCCGCGCCTTCGAGATATCCGTACTGCGGAACACCGTCGCCGCCGACAGCGGCACCGTCTTCTGGAAGAACGACCGGTCCAGGACCCGCATCGCGCGGTTTATGGGCGGTCGGAACATCGGGGGCAGGTGGTTGTCCGGTTGGGAGGTGGTGGTTGGAGATTCCATGAACGGTGGTTGGTGGAGGATTTGTCTTGGTTATCTTATAGTGATGGGTTCGTAGGATATGAGAGGTGTTGGAGTTGCATCTGTGGTGGCTGTAATAGAATTGGGTATGAAGATTAGTGGAGTCGTTTGGATGGTTTATTGACCCGATGTTTTATTGTCGCTTTTTTTTCCCTGCGGCGTTATCGCGCACGTGATCTAGATAAGATCTATATCTCTCCGGTCGTCTAGATCCATCCAGCGATGGAAACATTTTTAACCATTGAATATTAAATGAGATAAATCATAGATGCAAAATTGCCGTGTTGTTGCTATTCGTAAATATGTAATGAAGTCAAACTGTACAATCTGTAACTCTGTTCCCCGCAATATGAAGCCCTCCCCATCCCCAGCCCACAAGACATGCAAAAAACCGCAACGAAAGAAAAACATAGATTACCTACCAGAGGCAAAAAGGGTATTAAACGTGCAAATGCCAGCGCTGATTCTACTCAAAAAGATCATCTTGTCCCCCCATTAATCACCGTCTGCATCTCCCTCAGTGACTCAAGCGCCTCAATCCTATCATTCAGCCTCGCAATCTGATCATCCTTTTGCTTCAACGCGATGCGAGAGATCTCCCGACCACGACTAATCCCTTTCATCTTCAGTTCAAATTGGTTGAGCGCGTCTATAACTTCCTCTTCAGCCTTACGCGGCACGACCGCGTCGTGCGCGTTCAAAATCTTAAGCACCCGCAGCGCCAGATCGCTCGGGTCCGCGTGCGGATCGTTATTCGTTGCTAGCACATTGCGGTACTTACTAGGCGTAGGAGTCAGGCACACCTCTGCCGACGGCGGCGGGGCA